ACTGCATGATAGGTCATGGATGGACAAGTCTCTACAAACAAAGGATGCCGCTGCTGTTTTGCGCTGGCGCGGTCGCCCATGTCGCCACCCTTTCGATAACACGGCCGCGACACACCAGCGGAAACGTGTGTTCCCCAGGCGCGCAGTCAGCACTTTGACCTGGTGCTGGATGGCTGGGAGATCGGCGGCGGCTCGATGCGCATTCACGAGCCCGCCCTCCAGCGGCACGTTCTGGAAACTGTACTTGGCGAGGACACCGCGCCGCTGCAGCACCTGCTGGACGCGCTGGCGAGCGGCGCCCCGCCGCACGGAGGCATTGCGCTCGGTATGTCCTGGCGGCTCTTGCCAGCCGCGCCGCTCTCGCCGCTCCTGGGGGTACTTCCAGGACGAACCCGGCAAAGGAGCTGATGGATGATGGAGCGTCACATGTGGGGATGTGACGGCCGAGGTGCTAATAGGATTATACGATTTGGTTGATTGTTCTAATAGGCACAGCGTGGTGCTGATGTCTGTGTGTTCGCCCCAACATTCCACCAGAATGGCCGAAAACTGAAGTGGCGTCATGGTTGTTTGCTGGGTAGCCATCCAGCCGCGCGTCGATGCTTGATTGCGAAGATAAAACACGCAGAATGCCAGGATAACGCGCCGTGCGATGCCGCGAGGCGATCTTTTGTAGCTTGAAGCGATTTCAGAAGTGCTCCCGATTGGGTCCGTCCATACGAATGAATGACTGTCCATTCTTTAACCATTAGTTAGTACGTGAACTGCATGTCTTTAGATGCGTAAAAGCTATCGCAGTACGATATTTCGTATTTTCATGGTGTTTTGTCACCCAGTTGTTCCACTGGCCCCCCACGATTTTGGCGCGTATCAATCCGTGTCATTATCTTCAACTGCTCGCCTATTTCAGGATTGGATCGCTTGGTGGCGCTGGTGTGCGGCGCGCAATCAATTCGTGACGTCATAGCCTTTCCGAAGACGTCCGACGGGCGGGACCTGATGGCTGACGCGCCCAGCGACATCTCTCGGGAAGAATACGACCTTTATCACCTGACCAAGCCAAGCTGAGAGACGCCGCCGGTGACCCACGCCAGTGTATTGCCACAGGGCGCGCGCGGTGCTACAGATGTGACAGCTTACGCCGTCTTTCGGTCTGAATGACACGCGAAAGGTTCCGATGCGCAAAATACAGCCGGCATCGTGGCGGCGAACCCGTCCTGCACTAAGACGGCAACGCTGCTGCGTCCCATTTGGGGAGGCGGCTGTCAGTTGGCGATCGTCCGTCTGGCGGGTGTCATCGCCCGATTACACACTCACGTGCCCAACACACCGCGCCATTAATCCACACGGCGGCGTTCCGATGCGCTAAAAGTGGATCGGGCGCGAACGTCCTGACCAGCACACGCGGAAATGACTCGCTGACACCCGTTCGGCGTCGCCCCGTACCGCCGGGTTGCCGTTCCACGTTTCGACGCCTCCAACCGCCTTCCCCGGCGGCTGTGGTGGTCCATCTGAATCGGTACCAAGGCCCTCGGCGAGCGTCGCCCCGTGGTGCCGGCGCGCCACCGCCCTCGTTGTCCCGCCCAGCATGTCCGGGCATTGGTCGCACGCCCTCAGTAGTACGCGCGCCGCGGGTTGTTGAGCGGGTTGGGACGGAACTTGTAGGCGAGCATCATGCGCTTGCGATAGGCCTCGAACTCGTCGTCCTCCTTGCTGACGTCGGCCTGGGAGCTGGCGCCGACGCCGGCCGGGTCGAGCGTGCGCTTCTGGCTGATGGGTGCCGTGATACCGCTGCCGTCCGAGCCCAGGCCGAGCCCTCCGTCCAGCCCATCTTCTTCAGCATCTGGAAGCCCATGTTGTCCTCCTTGATGCGGAACTCGCGGTAGTCGGACATGTCGGGCTCGCGGTCCTCCTTCAGCGCGCGCCATTTCTCCATGAAGCGCTCCAGCTCGTCGGGCGGCAGGAAGTCGCCGATGTGGTGCTTGCCCTCGTTCATCTGGGTCAGCTCCTCGGCCTTGGCGTGTGTCTCGGTCATCTCAGCCTGGCGCCTGCCGGACACAGTCAGGTACGTGTAAACGGCACGGGCATTTCATCGAACGCAGAGTGCCGGCGCACCACACGCCGCTGTATCCACGCCAAACATATAGACGCGTTTAGATGAGCCGGCGACGCAGAGTCCCACAGCGTTCCTCTTGCAGCAACCGTGAGCAAAGGTCTACTCTCAAACGGAGCAACTTTCCATGCGCACGGAAATTGTCAGGGCCACAACGGCCACATTGTGCGGACATCCGTGCTCACATGAAACAGTCGCGTATCTCATACTGGGGATGCCAGCGCAGCACAAGCCCAGCACCTCGGCTCAGAGGCCCGCCGTGTCCTCGCACGACCACGGCTGCTGCACCACCGCACCAATGGCCCCGCTCGCGCGTGACGAGCTTCATCGCGACGCCACAGTGCGGGCTTCAGGGTGTCGACCTCTTGGCACAGCGCAGTGTAACGACGGTTAGCAACACCCTGCTAAAACTGCTGGTCGCAAAAACTGGCAGACGAAGTCCCGCAGAAAGAGTGTTACGCTGATGGAGAAAACGGGAGAGCAAAATAAATTGCACATTGAGTGAGTGTTAGTAAGATAGTGAGGTTAGTAGGTAGAGCTAGTGTTACAGTTAGTGTTAGTATTAGTGAGGTGCGTTCATCATTGCTAAAAGGGGTTAAACTGATGTATGGCTGACGGAAATATCAGAATACCAGAAGAGCGCGTCTGATTCCAACACGCGACTTGAGTAGTAAAATTGTAATAGGCAGGTTGATGAGCTTGATCGGCCGGCAGCCACCCGTTGGCCGCAGATGGCAAAAGTACAAGCTACAAGCGAACACGCTGTGTAGCACAAGTTTGAAAACCACTGTTACAACACGCATGGGCTGATCCACCATATAGTTAGGCCACGACCGAATGTACCATGCCAGCCCACGGTAAAACTTAAAAAAAAGATATTTCCGTCACCCAGGAAGGTTAATGGTTCCCTCCACCCACCACTTGAATCCAACGTCGGAAAAGCGTGCATGCACGCTTGCAAAAGCATGCACAGGGTAGCTCTTGCATCACTGAATGCATTGTGAGGTTGTTGAGTCTTCTTTCGTACCGCTTATGCATCTCACAGTGCCAAAAATACAGCATTACTTTGTCAAGCTAACGCGTATTTATTTGAGGCATATTTTATCATCCACATTACTTTACACACGCTTACTTGCAACCTGTTAAATATATGTATTCACTTCTCGATGATCATCCAAGCACATGGTGGTAAAACATCGTGATTGGCTGTACGAAGAATCGTACCTTACCGTACGAGAAATCGTACCAACCCAACATATGGCCACCTGTCCTTGGCCATAATTCTAGACACTAACTGGGTGCACCAATTATAGCAGATGCACCACATGCAACTAGCATCTGCATGCAACATGTAACAACAACATGCAATTAGCAAATGGCTGAACTGGTTCCAACTAGGTGCTGTGCCAGCCCTTTTCAACCCCATCCGCTTCTATGCGACAGGGCTGCGCATTCGTCCACCATGCCTGGCCATTTCAAGCCATGCACACCTGACAACACACCAGCTTCTCCCATCGGTACAGACACGGGCCAGACCTCTGCGGTCCGGCGTCCGGTGGCCACGGCTCGGCCCGGCCACCCCCAGCACGTACCGTTTGTGCTCCCCAGGTGCCACCTTCGGTCTCCTCGTCCGAGTCGTAGTCGTACTTGACCTTGCCCTTGCGCTCGAGCCGCTCGGCCTCCGCCTTCTTCTTCTGAATGTCCTGCAGCAGCACGTTCATCTGCCGGCCGCGCGCGGGCGCCGTCACCACAGGGCGCGGGCGCCGTCCTGCCCGGCGGCGGGGCGCCGGCGGCCTCGGGTGCGCCGCCGCGGTGAGACTCACGCGTCCCGGACCGGGGACGCCACGTCTCGGACCAGCTCCGGGGCCGGGGTCTCGCGTCACCGACCGGGCGAGCCGCCGTGGGCTGAGGGCCTCCCGTCCGCGACGCGACGGTCACGGCGCGCGGCGCGAGTCTCGCGCAGACACCCGTCCGAGTGCCAAGCGGGCGGCGCTGGGAGGTGGACACCCTGACGCGCTGCCACGCAGGTCACGTTAGCTTCAACCAACGCGCCTGAGGCCATGACTTACACTGTGCATACCCGCATGACCTTCACACGCCCGTGACATTCGGACTTTATTGGGCTGGTGTCGTCGGCCTCACCTTCATCTGGTCCTGACACTGTCTCCACTGGTCATCAGTCATCAGGTCCACGTTGCCGAACACGCGCTTGGCGTACGCTATCAGCTCCGGCGACTTGTTGACCAGCGCCACCGGGTCGGGTCACTGCAACACGCGCCCGCCATCCACTGCATCAGCAAGTTCGACCAGCCCATACCGGCAAGCCAAGTCCGAGTCATCAACGGCTTCCAGCTGGCCGGCGGGGGGTATGCCACACGGCGCTCCGCATACTGTCCTTTTTTAAACAGATCTGCTCGAAACTCAACGGCAGTTCGCAATCTCGTGACGACTCAGTGCGTCAGTGGATTCACCACAGAGCGAGGCGCCTGTGTGGCAACGCGCACACGCGCGCGCGTGCACCGTGCGTGTGTGTGTATGTGTGTGTGGTCCGTGGGCGGCCCCACCTACCCATGGGCGCCGTGACCAGGCCAGCCGGCGGCAGGGCGCCCGGTTCCTCCTCGGCGCCCCAGCGGCTGCCGCGGCGTCTCTTCCGCTCGGCGCCGTCGCCCGCTGCCCGAGTCTATCGCAGCCGACAGGTCAGCACACCGAATACAGCAACCATCGCGTCAGAGCAGAGCACGCCGGGTGGGAGGCGGGCGCGCCGGCGCCAGGGACGTGTCACTGCTCTCAACACACGCCAGACGTGGCATGTCAACTGTAGTTCAAATCAGAGCGCGGGAGGTGCCCGGCCGTAGGGCGGAGGTCGCTCTACAGGAGCCCCCTCCTCCCACACACACAGGGGAGCGCGGTGACAAGCGCCACGGCTCGGTACAGAGCCCGTGCCGGAGCGCTGTGCCGACGACAGTCACAATAGTCACTCGACGTTCGCCTGCATTGTATAGGTCAGCATGTGTCCAGCTCCATAGGCCAGGACCCCTCATTAGCTCTGGTTGCCACCAGATTGAAGCCCGTGACCTTAGCAGTTGCAGATGTTGATAACATAACATAAACGGAGCGCCTGACCTGGAGCCTGGATCGTGCCAGGGTAACCGCGTGTGGAACAATTTGAAAATATCGTTGAATATTTTCGACATTTGATATCTATTTGGTTGATATCGGTGACATTTTCACGAGGAGATTCCAGTCATTTAGCGTAAATCTATTAGGTCTGATTTCTCGAGAGTAAATGCAGCTCCCGACTAGGAAAAAAGTAACGTTTTAACACTTCTGCTCCATAGGCGGGTTAGCCTAAGTCAGGCCATCACGCACTGCTCGCTGCACCGGACGCCAACACCGTTTTAGGCTAATGTTGGTTTTCACAAGTCAGCTTATGCTGCATGGCCATTCAGATGGTACTAACCGGTCTGAAGAAACCACGAACAGACACAAGATGTTGATGAAAATACCACACGTACCAATTTCACAGCACCATCAGAGCAAAAATGTGCACGCATTGTGTGTAGCAATCCAATACACGCTACATAATACCAGGGACATCATCAGCCCGCGACAAAGAACACGCACCGTAAAATCATTACCAACCAATAACAAACCAGACTGCCACAGCCATCCCACACGCCGGCTAAGAGACGCGTCCGCCCCCGCCGACTCCTCGCTCTCCAGCGCTCACCGTCTCTGTCGGGGTGCACCGGCTCGGCCTGCGTGCGCCGCTGCTGCCCAGCGTCGCCCTCTCAGCCGCCGTCGCCGTCGCCGTCGCCATGGCCGTGTGGCCGTGGCCGTCGCTGCCGTCGCCGTCGCCGCGCCCGCTCCCGCCACTCCGGAGCGCCAACTGCAGACGAGACTGGCGCGCGGGTGAGACACAGTGCGCGGCAGCCGCCCGGCGTCGGGGCGCGGCGGCGGACGCCGGTGGGCTCGGGCGCGCGCCCATACGTACTGGAGCCGGACGGCGACGCGACGCCGGCGCCGCTGCGACGATCGGCCGGCGTCGGCGGTACCGCGGGCCGCGTCTGCAACACGGGAGCGGCCAGTGTCAGCGGCGCAGGCGGCGCGCACCAGCGCCGTCACACCGGGACTGGGAACTCGCGCTGGGTGCGAACTGGAGATACCAGCCAGGCCGGACAGCACGGGGAGAGGGCTGGAAACGGGCGGCGGATAACCACTCAATACGGCGGGAGGACTAAAGGGAAAGAAATAGAATACTGTGATGCCGCTATCAGCACGTATCGACGACGAATGACAAAATGATGGGATCTGAGCAGGCGGGGCGGGGGGGGGGTGGGGGGGGGCAAGAACAGATAGAGGGTTTCAATCAGACGTTCATAAAATGAAAGCATTAGCGGTTTGTGTGATGTATAAAGCTACAAACTGAAACATCAGGAAAACAGTGGTGGAGTGGCGTGCTCCTGAAATGACACACTGCATGCCGCATGTGAAGAAATGTGCTCCGCAAGTTGCGTTGCAATCAGGGGGGGGGGGGGGGGGGGGAGGGGCGGCCACAGAAGACACGAGCACTATAATACGGGCCGGATTTATGAGGGCCCGAAAGTCAGCAAGAGGTCGTATTTAAGGGTCCATGCCCGCATGGCCGGTTACTCCAATACCAGCCAGAGGGCCCTGTCGCTGATCAGGGACTCAGGTGATAAGAAGCCTACATGTCGGTCAGACACCACCAGTCAAAAAACAGCCCATTCTGCGTCGACCACGGCCTGAGGGCCTATTCCCTAAGCGGGACAAAGCTTGAGCTAACAATTTAGCAACTTGTAAGGTCAGGACCGCAGCGTCTGTAAGGGCCCCCCAGTTCCCGACAGGGAGCTCTGTGGTGGCAAGAGGCACCGAGTTGGCCAGTGAGTGTTCAAGGAGGCCCAAAATGCCTGCAAAGCCCACCAGAACCGACGAGCAAGGGCCCGATTGATTGCCCTATGGGCACGAAGGACTGGTCGGGGTCTTGTTCAGGGGCCCGAGTTCCGGGACGGGCCCGGGCCCTGAAATGAGCGTCAGAGGGCCCTTCGCGCCGATCGGGGACCAACAGTGAGCTGATAAGGGCCTATGTGTCGGTATGTGGGCTCCGCGTCGGTATGGCCCTGGGGACCCTCTTCCCAAGAAGCCGCGAATCCGCGGCCCGCCATTTAAGGACTTTAGAGAACTGGACTCCTCTGGAACAGCGCAGACCTCCATTTTGGTCAGAGACAACCAACACCGAATGGTGAGCTACGTGTCGGTCTGAGTCTTGAGGTTCTTGAACAGCGACAGGGACGGGACCCCGAATGTCAGAAGGCCTCTTGAGTTGGTCGAGGTCCTCTTACAATGAAAGGAAACGTGCTAAATCATGATGAGTGTTCACAATGAGAAAATGAAAAGGTTCTGTGCCAGTCAGGACCCCCAATGTCGAACAGTGGGCCCTCCACCCCGCCTCATTGCGAGTCTCTGTGCCAATTATCAGACCAACCTGCGGGGAACAAGGGACGTTGTTGCGTAAGGGAGGGTTCCTGCGTCGATTCAGGGCGAGCTGCGCGAGTCAAGGGCTTCCCGCGTCAGGGACTAATGTGAAATAATGTGTCTCTCTAAGGGCCTCCAAATCGATCATGGGATCCCACCTTGTGTCTCGGATCTCGGAAGCCATGAAAGCGCTGGCCGGATTGCAGTTTGCGCAAAAAACCGAACGGCGTTGGCCGGTGCAGATAACACCAGGCGATGGGTGGCGTGCGCGTGACAACCGTAATGAAATCACGTTCCCCAATGTCTTTCAAAATAAGAAAAAGTTGTGCCGTCCAAGAATAGGCTGGGCGTATCTTTTTTAGCATTTTTTTAAGTTGCTCTCTGGGCACCATAGCAAACGCAGTAACCCGAATAAACATTCTACCGTTTCTCTTCCAGTTCCGACGCCAGATTCCAGCACCATTTCTCGGTGCTGTAAAGGTCAGTCCACTCTAATCAATCTAAAAATCGCGCAGGTGGAATACACGCCCAGACTGCCTTCTAAAAGTACGATTTGATGCCCTAAGGCGTTCAAACGTATTCGTTCTCAGACGAGTCAGCGTCCAGGCCCGCCCGTTGGCCATGGCTTAGTGTAAGCCGTGGAGCCTACGCCGCGCTTCCTATGGAAGATGAAAGCCTCGTGTCGAGGTTTTTGTTGCTAAGATTTGCCAGCGCCCGTGTTTAAAACTACGTTACATAATCTTTATCACATGTTGATTCCAGCTGACTGTTGAAAATTTCAGACAAACATGGTCTGGCCATGTTAATACCAATCGTTTACCCATTTCAATACATAATCGTATAATCGACTTATTATTACTAAATGTGTATAGCAGAAGTCGCGTAATGCATTATATCTTTGGTTTGTAACTATACAATTCAGACCGTACTGATCTCGCGGAAGCTTCTGGCTTCTGTTACAGTTAGAGATGAAAAAACAAAGAAACGCATGCCCTCATTGAAAAACTGGCCACGTCCGGCGATTGGGGAGGGGGGGGGGGCTTTCACTTCCAGGGGGATCCATGTCAAACCTGAGCTCCCCTTGCCAGGGCTCTGGCGGCGCCAGCCGCCATTTCACACAAAATCCAGCGAAGGTCTGCAATGATGACGATGTGTATCTCCTGCGCAATGACGCGCGCTCACACCATAGAGATGCCAATGCCTTTCCCGGTTCAAGGAAAAACGAAACACTTACGGGCTTTTTGCATCTGCCGAAACATTTCCATAAAGCTGCCGTCATTTTCAAACGCGTTTGCAGGACTGAGCTTGGGAGCTGGAGGGGCCGATTCCGTGTTGGCAGGCCTCTTAGGCGCTGGGCGGAAGCTGTAACAGTCACATGACGATGAAAATTACAACCAGAGAAGCACGGCCATCGTGTCAGCGGCGAACCAGGCACTGACAGCTTGTGTATGGCTGTACCGATAGCCAACCACACCTTTAACTCCAACAAACAGCTCCACACAGCTATGGAATACAAAAATAAATCTCTAGCTCCAAACAGATATGAAAAGATAAATAAATTGACAAGAGTGCAGCCTATCTTTCAAAGAGCATTTCCCTGAATGCGACTTGGGTGCCATGGGTTGCGCAGTCTGCACAAAAGAATGACGCACACGAGTTCATGCCGGAGTCTGCCGCTGTCCCCGGCCAAGGAGCAGAGCAGCAGCCACTGACACCGCGCCCCCCCCCCCCCCTTCCCCGCTCGCACCAGTGTTGCCGCCCATGACGTCGCCCACCTCTGCTTGTGTGCCTCGAAGAGGCGCCGTGCGCTGCTGCTGGCGCTGAGGCTGGCTACCGACGGCCCATCCGCTGCCAGCGAGCCGCTGGCCGCCGAGGGTCCACCCCTGCCGGCGGCGGCAGCCGGGCCGCTCGCGCCGCCGCCGGCAGCAGCCAGTCGGCGGGCCTCGATCTCGCGCCGCTTCTGCTCGATCAGGGCCTGCTGTCGGCTCATCTCGGCTAGCTTGGCGGCCGGATTGGGTCGCGATGCCATCTTGACTGTGATGTCACTGACCAGGTGTCAGATGGCTGCCAGCAGAGCTGCTAGGCCTGAGAACAGTACACAAGTGTTCCAATGCAAACAATGTGTCACATGCTGGGTATGTATCTGAAGCAAAGGAGAGAAAACGCAAGTGGTGCAAATGCAGAGGCCATACTTGTACCCTCCTTAAAGAGGATATCCTAGTGAAACTAAGCAAGGTCTTAGTTAAGCATCTAGCAACAAATACTCTTGAGCGGCACAGGTACATAGGGATTTACAGCATACGGTTCTGATTTCTCTGGTTAATTTATTTTTCCAGGGGTTTTCCTATCTTATGTCATGGCTTCAATGATTGCACACCAGTATTCAGCCAGCATTGGAAAAATAAGTGGTTCCTGACATAATGTATAACATGAGATTTTAGATCCCAGAATTATGGCTGGGTAAGATGAAATATTTTGTACTCAACTAAGACACAACAGCTTTTGGAAAACTATTTTTTTGCTCTGCTCATGGACAAAATCAAACTAGAAGGTGCAGCATCTTAGGACTGGCTGCTTCCATCATGAGCCATGTGTTCAGTGCTGGAAAAATATATGTTCCTTGGTATAATGTGCACCAGGAAATTTTGTATTCCAGGGCCGTGCCAGGAAAAATTAAAAAATTTGTACTCTGCTGTGACACTGCAAAAACGGCTTTTAAATACTCATTTTACCTTTCTGTTTAAGGACAAAATGAAACCAGGGGGTACAACAGATTGGGACTTGCTGCTTCCATGATGAGCCATGTACTGATATCTGCAAGAGCATAAATCTTGCACCCGCCAGACTTAACTGTCCAATAGCAAACAGCCTGTGTTGCCACCTGGGCATACGGCAAATAACACATGGAAATGTAAAAAAATTCAGTGTGTGTCGAACGGAATCGCCTTTGAGCAATGTCGGGGAATGAAAAACGAGTAGCAGAATAGCGCTGGTCTGTAAATTAGCAAATCTCACTTTCTGCGCCCTGAGCGGACCAACCCAGAATTGAGCATGATTTAACCTACCATTAACTACTAACCGCGTTAACTGCCCAGGATGCAACGAACGGTGACAAGCACCTCACACCAAACCACCTCCCACAGGCGGCAGCCTACTCACGCTCCACCCCTCCGTCGTGGAAATGCAAACAAGATAGTGGTTTAGCGTCGGAAACGTCTCAACTATTCAGTGCCTTGCGCACGCCTTCCAGCTCAAGTTGGAGATTGAACATAGGAACTTTCCAATTGGTCGGAAGGATTCACGTCCTCGTGACTGATTTGTCAAGAGCATAAATATTGCGCTTGCGCTCATATCTTGAACAGATTTGTAAACATTTCGAGAGCAGCTGTATAGAGATGGACATCACGGTTATCCCGAAGGACTTATTTGTACTCGTCCAGAGCCGCCCTGTGGTTGGATCTCTGGCTACTTGCTGGTATCCGGAGTACAAGAATGTAATGGCAGATGCGGTTTTAAACCAAGTTAGATTTGTCATTTGTGGGTGTGAAGTTAAAGCTGGTAATTCAAGCTTACTAAGATATCCTTTTAAGTCGAAAAAACGTGGTTATAAATAGCCAAAAAGCTGTTCAGGGACAGCCATCTCACTCCGGCAAAAACACCAGGAGACCAGAGTAACAGGAGCCCATAACATGATGTGTTGATATCTACAAGGGCGCATATCCTGCACCCATAAGACTTACATGCCCATTAGCAAGCAGCCTGTGTTGCCACCCAGCTATACGACAAATGATGTAAGGAAATGTGAAAAATGAAGTGTAAGACCATTGAATGAATCGTCTTTAAACAAAGCCGGGAAATGAGAAGCGAGTAGCAAAATCGCACCAGTCTGTAAATTATAAAAGCTCTTTCTTCCTGCGCCCTATGCAGACCAACTTAAAACTGAACATGATTTAACCCGCCACTAACTACGAACCACGTTAACTGCCTAGTATGCAGCGAACGGTCAAACACCCACACCCAATCGCCTACCGCAGGCGGCCACCTACTCACGTTCCGCTCCTCTGTCATGGCAACGCAAATAGGGGAAAATCGTTTGCTTTTTTAGTGGTTTCAACTTACGTTATTGGCCAAGAGAGGAAAGCGGGGCTCCCTAACTAATCCCGCACAAAAATCGGGTCATCTTAAATAAGTCCGGTGGCCATTTTAGACAGAAGAAGCACAGGAAAAACCACACATATGCAATCTTGCTTTAAAAGGCTGGGCAATACGGAAAATAAGGTGAACAAGGAGTCATTCAAGATCATAATTTATTGCATATGTGTGGGAAAACCCCGTGAGTAAAAGCTTGCTTACGTTGGGTGCCGGGCCGTTGCCTTTTCCCGGCAAGTTGCACTTACCACGGGGCTAAGTGGCGAATCGGGTCCCGTCAGATCTTCGTACCCAATGGCGATTGAATCACGAAGTCCAGGACAAGGTCGGTTAGGGCAGGATCATTGTCGCCTAACAGCGTTAAGAGGGTGTGGGGGAGGCGGCGTGTTAACAAGTAACTCGTGACATAGCGACGTTCCCGAGAAAGAGCAGCGCATTCAACCAATAAGTGTTCAACCGTAAGCCGGACATTACAAGTCTAGCAGACGAGTGGTGCAAAGCGACTGAATAGATGACTGTGGTTGAGACGAGTGTGGCCACATCCCAAACACACCAAAACCACTTTTCTCTGCCTGTTCTGATGACACATCGCCCGTGTTTGGAGTATGAGTTTGGTTCGATACATGTGGCTAGCATGCGAAACATCCCATTGATTCTGCAAATATCAAGCAAAACGGACTTGAGTTAAATGAAGAACATCACCTAGTGCTAGAGGACACTTCCAGAGCGTTGGTAGTCGGACACCTTCGTTCGCAAGGGTGTCGGCGGGGACATTTCCCGCGATGCCATAGTGTCTCGGTATCCACAGAAAGATCACATGTTGGTCGGTGCGTAGCGAAAGCATTATATTATGGATGTCACACACTCCTGGGTGGTTGAAATCATTGAGTCGCTGAGGGGCCAGCAGCGACGCCTTGGAGTCTGTGCATATCGTAGCCTGAGGAATACGTCTGACTCTGATATGTAACAGCTCTCGTTTTATAGCGCATACTTCCGCAGAGAACACCGTGCTGAAGCCTGGAAGGCGTCCGGTGAATCGAAGATCAGGACCGACGGCTGCTGCACCAACCTGGTCATCATGAGCAGATCCATCGGTGTGAAAGAAAACGGATTCGGCGTGCGTATTCGGTACTCCAGGAAGGCAGACTGTGCCTCAGCAGGGAACAATTCTGATTTCTTAGATATAAATAGATACTCTATTGAGGAATGATTGCAAAGCCAGAACAGCGTTGACGGAGGGTCGCGAGCAGCACGCATTCATGGGATGTCAAAAGATCGCCGCGCCTGTTTGACAGCGTCGGACAGGAAACACGACCGCCGCCGCTGTTCTTTTTAGGGACGGTCTATTGGTATCAAGAGCAGCGCATACCGCGCGCTTCATCACACTTAAGAATTTAATAACTTTTGTCCATTCATGGGCCCTTCACTTCCGCTCGCTGGTGTTCTTGGTCGCCTGGAGGCCCACAGACGTCCAATTTTGTTGCGTTTTGTGTAAACAAGCTGGGTCTGTTCGGTCAGCTATGGGGATCCTCCGGTCCACCATGTCCCCTCCCCCTTGGCACCCTCGAGGCCCAAGCATGGGCCATGATCCCGTGTCCCCCCTTCCCCTTGGATCCGCCCCTCCCGGGCACAAGTACTCAGGCCCGCAGACTCCGGCACCGCCGCAGGAAACCCGCTCCGTGTGGACGTTCCATGTCCCAGGCAAGGCTCCATCGGACTATCTCCGTGATCCCTTCGGCAACTTTAAAGACTATCGGTGGTTTCACGCGTTGCATGGGTTGACGCTGCATCGCGGTACAGCGCATGTTCTTTCAGAGATGTCGGCGAGCGAGACTAGTAGATTAAAGCCTTGATGACCTTTACGTCCTGTCACCTCTGAGTTGCGACGGCTGGGTGATGTACGCCTGGTCTCGGACGCTGACACAGACGTCACTTCTCCCGCTGGGAGCCACGGCTGGATGATGTACGCCTGGCTCGGACGCTGACACAGACGTCACTTCTCCCGCTGGGAGCCACGGCTGGATGATGTACGCCTGGGCTCGGACGCTGACACAGACGCCACTTCTCCCGCTGGGAGCCACGGGGTCGAGCATGTGCCACTGCTCATGCCAGTGACGCGGCCAGACATTGTGACGCTTCCCACTCAGTTGACTCAAACGCGCCTGCACGTTGAAGGGCTTGAGGCATGCCGGCGAGTTGAACGTGCCACTGCATTAATCCCAGAGTGGCGACCATGTAGTCTCCGCCTGACGCCGAACTGAACCCGACAGCACGGCGCAAGAGACTACGGCCTCAAAGCGCGGTACTACCGAAGGCGACGCGCGGAGATGGAGAAAGGGCGACGCCTATTGACTACAGCTGCTGTCCGGTGTGAGGCTCACGTATCAGGGGCGGGAGGAAGAGGATCCGTGAACGATTCGCTCTCGCCAAGATCTGACTTTTACCCTATCGTGATGGATGGAGAGCATTACGCTGCTGATGCGTATTTTGATGTCTGTCGTGCTGCGGAGATGGACGTAACTGGTTCTGACCTAATTTGGATGTTTATCATCATACGACAATAAGGAGGCAGGCTTCAGTTCCCGGACCGGAGACAGGCAAATACGGGGGTTATGTTTGACGTTATGCAGCTGGATAAGTCAGATGCATCGCGACACAGGCTTCTTGGGACTTTGGAACACGCACAGATGCTTGCGAAGGCCTTCCCATATAACTGGAAGTATCTCAAAACAGTGTTCCAAGCTGTTTGTGTGACGTGTTTTGAACGCCCCCCTCCCCCCCCCCCCCACTGGTTCAGCACCAAATGCTAAAAATGGGTAAGATGTCTGAAACCAGCGCGAATGAAATGCTTACAAATGGCAAGTGGTCTGTCATGGCCTACGTAATAAAGAACGATCTTGTCATCATTTCGCATCAAATGCATCGTTTAAGTTGGTCCATGTTGGCAGAAGCCTCACCAATATAAGGAACCAGATATGATTATTTCTTAGCCCATTTTCATCTCCATCATCTTGGAAAATATGCGTTGAGCCATTCAACAAATGTTGATGCCTTATTGGCATCCAGTGCCAATAGCATGAACCACAGTTGGCTTTTTTTATCTAGGAAAGGTTTCAACTGTTAAACACTGCTACATTTAAAGCGGAACTGGAGCCAACCACTTTTGTGATTTTTTAAGCGTTTAGTCCAAGCCCTTTGATTGGACAGATTCCGGGATAGACTCCAGCCTTTTGTTGGACTGCATTTCAGGATCCCAGCGAGTCGGCCCTTGGTCGCGTGGAACCTGATTCAAACATCGCTCTCATGGTCCTCATATCCCCCCCCCCTTAGGTTCCCGGACCTTTAGCGTGGCCGCTGCCACCAGCCGCAAGGCCAATGCCAGTCAGGGCAAATAACGCGCGATTGGAGCGCTTTCATTCACACTACCTCACACAGGTGGGAGAACTAAGGAAGTCGATCTAACCAACTGAGCTCCATAAAGACATCTCCTAGCGCGTTCTTACCCCAGCATCTGACCCGCCGTTTTAACCATGCCAAGCGCTTATAACACGGCCACGCCGCCGCCCCCATCTGTCGTGAGCGTCGACAGAATGGGAGTGCTGATGAACACGAGTCCGTGTGGGACACGGGTGTAGTTTTGTTGTTCTTCTGGGTGGGCCATTGCCCCTTCCCCCAATGTCCGATTTGTCCCCCCCCCCCTCCCCAACAGTGAGTTTGGCCTCCCAACCTGCTACAGCCAAAGTAAAAGCAGGGCAGTACAAATGGGAAATTAAAATCATATCAAGTCTAAAGAAGGTTTCTACTCATTGTTTCACAGGTGAAAGGACTAAGAAAGTGAAAACCACGATGTCATGTCCAGTTGAAAGCAGCTAACTGATCTAGTCATATCATAAGACCTCCGTGTTCGTGCCGCGTTTACTTGGATATTTTCTGGTTTTTTTCTTGGATGATACATGTTTTCATTACACGATGAATATGTGCTGTTGGCTCTGACATCATTTTGTGCAATTGTCTGAA